AGCACATGAATTTAACTTCACAGTTTCCAAAAAAATTGGAAGTAGTCTTTTGTAGTTTAAAGACCCAACATGTTTAATCAACTTTGTTCATGGATGATGATTCAAAACTAGTGTGGTCTTGAATAATTCTTGAAATGATGAAAACAACATGAATTGTTCAATCTAGCTTGAATTAATTCGAGAACAAAATATGCACCATAGCCCGTGTGCATTCTAGCGTCAATATTATATGAAAGATAAATGAGCTCCTCACCCATAGCCCAACCAACAAGACATATATTGACTTGATGAAAACTTAAAGCAATCCTTAATCACTTGACAAGTAACATCACAAGAAAGAAATATCATGATTAAATCCTCGAAACTTCTTGAAAGGAAAGCCTAGTAGAGAAAGCTATTGGGAGAAACCCTAAATGTTGATGATGAATTTCCAATGAGGATAGGATGATGATCCTTTGGGAGAAACCCTAAATGTTGATGATGAATTTCCAATGAGGATAGGATGATGATCCTTTTAGCCTTGATGATAAAACCAAGTAAAAATAAGAATCATTGTTAAATAACCAATACCCATGCGTAGGCACATCATAGGATAACCCTAATTTTTTTAGCTCTGGGTGCACGTTGATAAGGAGATGACTTGAGGTATTGAGAGGAAACAAAAACCATGGCTTCATAACATTCTCAATGAAGACATGATGAAATCTCGAGCACACGGTAAACCCTAAAGCATTTTTTTCCGAAGAAATTCTGATGAAGACAACCTTATATCTCGAGGAACCCTGCCAGTGAAGATGTCTATGATGCTTGTGATCCAAAACCCAAGTTTCATACCAAGAATGATGAGAGCACCAGTTGAATCAACTTTGAGTAAGATAGCAACCTCAATTCATAGGGAAAAACCCTAATGCCAATTAGCCCTTTGATTTCGTAACCATGGAATCAATGATATGCATGAGATGTATATGATGTAATGAGGGATCTTAGGAGCAACATATGGAGTATAGCACTATCAAGAATAAGAATCCACTTCCGAGGATTGATGACCTGATGGATCAATTGGTTGGTGCAAGTGTGTTCAGTAAGATAGATTTGAGATATGGATATCATCAGATTCATGTGAAGGATGAAGATATTCAGAAAACTGGTTTTAGGATAAGGTATGGTCACTATGAGTATTCTTTGATGTCGCTCGGTGTGACCAATGCACTAGGTGTATTCATTGAGTACATGATTTAAGATTTCCTAACCGTATTTGGACAAGTTTCAGGTTGTTTTCATTGATGATATATTAATCTAATCGAAGAGTGAAGAAGATCATGTTGAGCTCTAAAGGTTGTGTTAACGGTGTTCAAGGAGAAGCAATTGTATGCTAAACTTTCTAAGTGCGAGTTTGGTTGAAGGAAGTGAGTTTCCTTGGCCATGTGATTTTTAGTGGAGGTATTGCGGTTGATCCGTTGAATATTGAAGTTGTGTCTCAGTGGGAAGCTTTGAAATCTGTTGTTGAGATTAGAAGTTTTCTTGGGCTAGCGGGCTATTATCGGAAATTCATTGAAGAATTTTCCAAGTTAGCTTTATTGTTGACGCTGTTGACTAGAAAGGGTCAAGCTTTTGTTTGGGATGCGAAATGTGAAGAAGGTTTTCAAGAACTTAAGAGGAAGTTAACGACCACTCCTATTTTAATTTTCCCTAATTTGAAATAATCGTTAGTTGTATATTATGATGGTAATTTGATGGGATTGGGAGGTGTGTTGATGCAAATTCTGCAAGTTGTAGCTTATGCTTCAAGGCATCTTAAAGTGCATGATAATAATTATCCATCACATGACTTGGAGTTAGCTATTGTTGTGTTTGTATGAAAGCTTTGAAGGAATTACTGAAACAACCGGCTGAAAATCATCAAACAATGAAGTCGCCATTGAACGTCTTTTATCCCACATGTAGGGAAAGGTAAACATCGAGAAAACCTGAGAAGGGAGAAGTCACGGTCTTGCGACCGAGAGATCGGGTAAGGGAGTCTGTTATGAGAAGGGAAGGTATTAGCACCCCACACGCCTGTAGTATTCTACGGTATCCACTCTTGTTGTCTATCTTATGGGTATGTTTAATCTATGCTTACTGTCTATACTACTAAAGGGAGAATGCATGCAAAAGAAAGGGAAAAGAATGTAGGAAAAGTAAAATTGTGCTCGCTTGGACCCTACCCCAATGCATACGTATCCCTTTTGAGGAATCAGAGCTACCGTAGTTCGGCTCTTATGCTTTTGTTTGTTTGTGTTTTTTATGGACGAAGTTAATTCCGCCTTCTACCACAGCTCGACCTTTGGAGACTTATGCATTGGCACAAAAGTAAATTAATCATGTCCTTACCTGAAAAGGATTTTAGAGAAAGGTGCTCGAACGCACAAAATGGTTTGAATCGGTTTGTGTTTTTGTTACCTTGAAAAAGGGTTTAAGTGTGATTAGCATGTTTTTGATTTGCTAAGGAAAGAAAGTTTTGTTTTAGATGCAAGGATGCAAAAAGGGGAAGAAAAGAATCTACGGGAGGCTAGCCTATTTCTAACCTAATGTTATCATACAATGGTAGCCCTACGTCAAGGATGAAAGGGGAAATTTCTACCTACGGTTAGCATGCATGATTTTCAACCTAAAGTATAACTTGCATCCGAACGGAGCAAGCGCATCCTAATGGAACCTGGTATGTACAAGGACGAAGCAAACAAGCCAATAAACTCAAGAGGGCGCATCTAAAGAGATCTTATCTAAGTTAGCATGCAAAAGAAAGTCTAACAAAAATGTCCTATAGGGAACATGAAATGAGAGAAAAGTCGTGATCTCAATTTCTAAATTGAGTGACTCATCAATCAACAAGAAATAAAGGAAAACGATAAAATCCTATAGGGAGCATGCACTGAGAGCGAAGTCGTGATCTCAATTTCTATCATCGATCAATCAACAAAGAAACAAACACAAGCACAACACATATAGCAAATGAAGTGCGGAATGCCTGCTACAGGTCTTTAAACAGCGACTTCGAGCGCACGCTCTTTATTTACTACTTCTCATGATATCTAGAAAGCAACGAAGTGCGAAAATGAAGAATAAAATAGAGTTGTGATGATACCGAAAGGATAAGGTCCGTTGCCTCTTCATAAACACACAAGCAATAAGAAAACTCTACAGGAGCTGCTCCGCGCGGCCGATCAAAAATTAATCTCCAAGCATTCCCCATTGTGAAAATTACATCAATCATTCTACCACAAAATCTTAGTCTTCTTCAACAAGAATTCACATCGACGCGCCTCTCTCATTCTTCTCCAAACGACATTCATCCACTCGACTCCCTCTGCCGCCGACTCTGACTTTTGTTCAAGGATTCACAGCCTCTATTTCCGTCTTCCTTTTTCCTTGATGTCAACTTCTGATTATCACCCTCGCGCTTTCAGTTTGCCTTGGTTCTCTCAGCCGTGACGTCTTCCCTTATCTCTGACTCTGGTCTTACAATATTCATTGCTCGACTCCCCTGATTCTTACCTCTACCTTCAGTTTCAGGCGCAAACCTCGAGAAGACCAAAATCTCCCCCAAATAAATCGATCCGTAGCTCAATCGAGCATCAGAAATTAGAGAGTCTACACGATGTGCACGCATTCAAGACAATCACCCACGGATTCCATAAAGAAATGGAAGATTACCCAAAACCTGAATTTGCCGCTTCGAAATAGATGTATTGAAAACCAGAGGTGAGATAATATGTTTCCTTATTACCTTTCTTTATCTTTTTGGCTTGTTCTTCTCTTCTATTGATTTCATGCCCTCTTCTGATGTTGCTCGTTGCTGATGAGCAAAAACATTGATAATGATGACATTCTTTTTCCTGTGATGCTTGGCTACAGAAACGCTTGATACAGAGGAGCAGGAAAATTGAAGATGATGAGACTATGGTGAAGAGGTAATTCAGGAAGTTGACGATCAGAGAAAGTTGCAGAAGGTTGCAGAGAAAGTTTGAGGATGAGGTTAATGGTGAAATAAGGAGTGCGGAGGAAGTTGCAGGGAGAAAAATAAGGTCTATTTTTGGTGATTTGTCTAGAAAAAATGCTGTCGAGAAGATGGAACTCAGAGACAGAGAGAGGGAGAGAAAGAATTGAAGGTGGCGAAACTGGAAAAAATTATGGGGGGGCTGAATGATGGGTGAAGAAGGTTATTTTAGACAGCTGAAGATTGAAGATCAAGATGTAGAGGAGATTCACTCTAAACGAAGGTGAGTTTTCTGTATTTCTGACTTTCTGTTCTTTTAAACCGTTTCGCTACTGAGCTGGAAATTCTCTTTTTTGCCTAACTTTCTTCTTTTTCTGTTATAACCTCTCTCGTTTCTACTTCTTTTTTTTATTTCCGCGTTTTCTGTGTTGTCGATGTCGTCGAAGATGAAACAGATTGAGGCTTTGTTGTGATGTTGTTGTTGATGTGCGATGATGCAGGTGATGAAGAATTGAAGAATTCAAGAAAGTGAGATAAAGATTGTAATGATGATGATGATGATATGCGATGAAGCTGTGACGTATTGCTAGATTTCAGAGAGTTTGTTAGAGGTTTTTGGTGGTGATTCTCCTGCAGATTGAAGAATGAATCTGAAGGTGAGTTTTTTCTCTAACTTTTTCTGAGTTTTCTTGAGAAATTTTCTATGTAATTTCTGAATAATGAATCTAGTCCAGTTTCTTTGTGAATGAATTGTGTATATAGGTAAGAATGATGGGAAAAGTTTGTTAGAAGAGTTTGTTATGAAGTTAGTTGCAAATTGGTTAGCTATTAGGATTGGAGAAAACGGTTAGCGAGTTGAGTTGGAGGTTGAGGGAAGAAAGTAAAAAAACAGTTAGGGTTTGTTATGAAAATTAGTTGGTTTAGTTAGAGGGAAGATTAGTATAATATGCAGGTCTGTTCTTGGATCTGAATGAAATTGAAAAACATTTGCTAATTGTTTTGAATTTTTCCTGAGCTAGTTTTATTAATTTGATACAGGGCTGAACTTGTATTTTAACTGATGCAGGGCCAATGTTTTTTTGTCTAGGAACAATACAAAGTCATGAATTTGAGAAATTGCAGCTTCTACATCAGAATTTATTTGTATATATTGAGTAGGTTCTTGGGATGAAATGAGTTCTTTTTCTGCAACTGAACCAGCATCTTCAGAATTATCCTTTTTATCACATGGAATATCAGAAGGAGGGACATCATGGGGAGTGACAGCAGTAGAGTCTTGGATGGATGTATCATGTGCGTCTTCAAGAACACATGCGTCTTCGAGAAGATGTTTAATATCCTTCAGAATCTGACCCACATCAGCATCCTTAACCACAAACTCAAAAACTAATTGTATTCTTGATTGAAGTTCTGCTGGTGATAAGCCATCTATCCCATCGGAACTGGGTGATACTGCAGCAGGGGACACTTGAATTGCTAATACCTACATTTTTTTGTTTGTGATATCTTTGGTGTAATGTAATTGTAATTGGATTTTCAAGTGATGTTGAATATGACTTGAAATGTTTTTTTTTGTAATGGAAACTTTGATTTGGAGTTATTTAAACATGTAAGGATTTTGGTAAAAGTTGTAATGCATCCTTGAATTTGTAATAAACAAAACTTGAATCAAGTTGAGTTGTTTTCCATCCATTGTGGTTTCATTTAAAATTTCAAGTCTTCTCCTATTTGTACTTTATGCCATGCCATGCTACACTTAGATAAACCACGAGATGAAAACCGAAAGTGACCAAAAATACATCGTTCAAAGGTCCACCTTTCGTGGTTGACTGTGACTAAGAGTCAAGGCTCGCACAAATGACTCCCTTCTTAGAAAAGATCCCCAAAATACTCCATGTAAAACCTCAAATATTTGCATAAGATCCAAAGTAAATGTCTTGAACCAATCTTTGAATTGACGATAATAAACTCAATTGAACCAAACTTCAAATGATGATAGGAACCAAGCGAGACCTTAATGCGTTGAACCAAACCATATGATAGTTATGGCTAAACAGAACCGAATTCACTTGATAACATAAGCACACTTAAAAGAACCCCAATCCAAGTGGTGATTGCAACATAGATACTGCTTCTCAAACCCTGGTTCTTATGAATTTCCATACATAATGCAGAGTCTCCTGAATGAAATCCAATTGAATGACTTGTACTAGAAGCAACAAATAACAACAACATATTGATCACTACACGATTCCACAACAACATCTTTGTGTCATAACTCAAAACTTTTGCACCTCAATCTTCAAAGATATCTCGACTTGCAGAGCCCAAAATATAACTAGCTTAAAGAACTCTTGGAGATGGATGATGAGGCTCGAAATAGTGAAGAGGACCCAAACCCTAGCTCAAAGCAATCTCTACTAAAAAACCGATATTAAAACCCTAATTCCTGAAGGTTCTCACCTCTTGCCAAGTTATGTTGTTAGTGAATGTATGCAATGTTAAATGACCTAATGGAGTTATGTACATGAGAAAAGCGCGACAATGCATAAGCCAGATAAAAGTAAAAGGGTAGGACAAATTTGGGGTATTACAACTGCCCCTATTTAATCGTCTTAAACCTAAAAGTAGGACTGGTGCATGCCTCTCGAAAGTTCGAGGTTGAAGATGATTAAATACCAATGCCAAAAAATTTGTCCTGAGAGAGAGCGTAAGTGTTTCTTTATATAAATTGTGATATCTGTTGGGGGAAAGATTTTTTTTGTTTTTTCAGTGAAGAGACGGAGATCGGACTTATAACGTGGCGTGATGCCAATACAATACAAATTGTTGGTATGAAAAGACAGCGGACAGGGTCTACGGGAAACCTACGATCCTAAGGTGAAACATGAGAGTGATTTGACAGAGAACCTAGCCTAAGGGCGATCTCAGGTTCTAATACAAGATATATGGAAAGAACCTAGCCAAGAGGAGATCTCAGGTTCGACGGTGATTTGAGGGAAGAACCTATCCAAAAGGAGATCTCAGGTTCAATGACGATCTAAGGAAGAACCTAGCCAAGAGGCGATCTCAGGTTCGACGATGATCTATGGGAAGAACCTAGCCTACGGGCGATCTCAGGTTCTAAGATGATTTGAGGAAGAACCTAGCCTATGGGCGATCTCAGGTTCGACAATGATCTATGGGAAGAACCTAGCCTACGGGCGATCTTAGGTTCGACGATGATCTTTGGGAAGAACCTAGCCTACAGGCGATCTCAGGTTCGACGGTGATCTATGGGAAGAACCTAGCCTACGGGAGATATCAGGTTCTAAGATGATATGAGGAAAGAACCTAGCCTGCGAGCGATCTCGGGTTCTAAGATGATCTGAGGAAGAACCTAGCCTATGGGCGATCTCAGGTTCGACGATGATCTATGGGAAGAACCTAGCCAAGAGGCGATCTCAGGTTCGACGATGATCTAAGGAAGAACCTAGCCTACCGGAAATCTCAGGTTCGACGATGATCTACGGGAAGAACCTAGCCTACGGGCGATCTCAGGTTCTAAGATGATCTAAGGAAAGAACCTAGCCTACTGGCGATCTCAGGTTCGACGGTCGGAGGAAGAACCTAGCCTACGGGCGATCTCAGGTTCGACGATGATCTAAGGAAGAACCTAGCCTATGGGCGATCTCAGGTTCAACGATGATTTATGGGAAGAACTTAGCCTACAGGCGATCTCAGGTTCGACGATGATCTAAGGAAGAACCTAGCCTATGGGCGATCTCAGGTTCGACGGTGATTTATGGAAAGAACCTAGCCTACGGGTGATCTCAGGTTCTAAGATGATCTGAGGAAGAACCTAGCCTAGAGGCGATCTCAGGTTCTACGATGATCTGAGGAAGAACCTAGCCTACGTGCGATCTCAGGTTCTAAGATGATCTGAGGAAGAAACTAGCCTACGGGCGATCTCAGGTTCTAAGATGATTTGAGGAAGAATCTAGCCTATGGGCGATCTCAGGTTCGACGATGATCTGAGGAAAAACCTAGCCTACGAGTGATCTCAGGTTCTAAGATGATCTAAGGAAGAACCTAGCCTATGGGTGATCTCAGTTTCGACGATCTAAGGAAGAACCTAGCCTACCGACGATCTCAGGTTCGACGGTGATCTATGGGAAGAACCTAGCCTACGGGCGATCTCAAGTTCGACGATGATCTAAGGAAGAACCTAGCCTATGGGAGATCTCAGGTTCGACGATGATTTATGGAAAGAACCTAGCCTATGGGCGATCTCAGGTTCTAAGATTATTTGAGGGAAGAACCTAGCCAAGAGGCAATCTCAGGTTCGACGATGATCTATGGGAAGAACCTAGCCTACGGGCGATATCAGGTTCGACGATGATCTATGGGAAGAACCTAGCCTACGGGCGATCTCAGGTTCGATGATGATCTATGGGAAGAACCTAGCCCACGAGCGATCTCAGGTTCGACGGTGATCTATGGGAAGAACCTAGCCTATGAGCGATATCAGGTTCGACGGTGATCTAAGGAGGAACCTAACCAAGAGGAGATCTCAGGTTCGACGATTATCTATAGGAAGAACCTAGCCTACGGGCGATCTCAGGTTTGACGATGATCTATGGGAAGAACCTAGCCTACGGGCGATCTCAGGTTCGAACCCAGGACGCTTGCTTCAAATCCTTCGCCCTTAACCATCTGCGCTGCATTACTCAATTGTTAATATAATAAGATAAATACAACATAAAGCAAGCCAAGTGGTTTCCCCCAAAAAACATGCAAATTTCAAATCATTCATTCAGGCACTGACACACCTTCATCCTCTTCCCCAGGGACTGTTGTCTTAGAGGGAACTTTTACCTACGGACAAACTCGTCGCTATAGGCTATGGGGACGGTTTTTATGCATGGCTACAAACCTGCAAACATCAAAAATACAATCCAAGCAACATAAATCCCATCCAAAGCCATGGATCGATTGCAAATAAATCCCTGCACATGAAGAGTTCCTTAATTTGGCCTAATTTTTCTTCTAACTAGGGTTCCCCAAATTGGAGCTCCATAACCCTAGCCATGGCAAATGTCTATTCCTGTACTCAAACTTCAATCAAACCAATCCAGTACATTGCAAATACGATAATAAGCACAGACATATAATTAAAACATGTTTATGATGCAGGAATCATGGTAATCGATTTTGGAAAGAAAGACAAACCGTGATGATTGTACAACACGTTTCTGGGCTTGTGGAGACTTGGTGATGCTTGCAATCGCTTCAGAGGATGCCCATGGATCTATTTTTCCCCTTGGAATGACTGAAAACGGCTTGTAGAAAGGGATCCAGTCTCATTTTTTTTGAAAAAAATGGAACTTTGTTCTTGCTCTAGCAGGGCAGGATGCGTGTGAAAATCTTCCTCTTTAGGTATGGCCTCATTTGCTTATGTATGAGGCAACAAAATAGGTTAACATTTATGGAGGAAATCAAAAGAATTATGGAGTTTCAATTTTGCTTCAAATCTTTCCATTTCAAATATTTCCTTCCTTTTCCATAGCATGGCACGATTTCTTCATTATGTGACAACATATAGGATCTATCATTAAATGAAAATGATCTCAAAACAATTTTATATTATTTATTTAATTTAATTTGGATTTTTAATGATAAGAAACCAAAATAAATTAAATAAAAGAGAAAATAAAGCATGGATGGGTATATGAGTCGTGGACCGTGTTAGGAATATGTTGCAAGCATAAAAAGTTAGGCCCATTTGGGAAAAAATAAAATTTTAAGCATTGTTGACTTTGGGCGAATTTCCAAAAATGACCAATTTTGACAATGCATATATCCTTCAATTTTGACCATAAGAGAGTGTTCTTGGACATTTTAGAGAGCTTATGATGTCTTATAAAAAACCCTTCTGGTTTAATCTCAATTGGATCTTCCATGTTCATGTTAGAAGCTTTGACCCAAAAGGTATTTTTGTTGACTTTTTGAAATGACATACAATGTCTGAATTTATATCTTTTCATGAGTGTATTTCCTGAACTTGAAGGCTGAAGATGAGTTGTAGGGAATTGAGTCCTCTTCAAAATGAGCCTTGGATGAGAAATTTCTGATAAAGTATGAGGAAGTTATGCCTGGTCAAAGTTTGGTTGACTTTTCTTGAGAAACCCTAATTTAGAAACTTTTGAATTTTGATGAATTAGGAACATTCCTTGAGTAATCATGATCAAACCTTGATCAAATGATGGACATCACTTCAAAATGTTGATTTTGACCAAAAATATTGAAGTTTGACTGTATGTGGGCCACACTTGACTTTTTACCTAATATAGTTGATTTTCAAGCATCTGAGTAGTTGACTGAGAAAACTTCTTGTGCAAGGCATGAGATTTGACATGGATGCTCTTGAGAACATATTATGACCATGGAAAAGATTTTATACCTTTGGATTTCTCCCATATTGATTAAAATGGAAACCCTAGTTTGAGGTTTATTGTCTTAGGAGAGTATTTGCCTGATCAATCCTTGGGCATCCTTGGGCAAGTTGAGGATTTCAATGAACATATGCTGAGTAAAATGATAGGGAAAATTTTGGGGTACAACATAAGGTATCATGAAGGATTTGATTGATGTAATGATCTCATCTCCTTGACTTAGTCTTGATCACATTTGCTTTTAAACCATGGTGTGCATCATATGCAAAACACCTACATTATTTTGGTCCGACCTCAGATAGGTGCAACTTCTTTATACGTTCACTTACTATTGATTAACATAACGCCAAATTATCCCGAATCAGAATACTAATTACTAACACTAACTATAATTGTATTAACAATTAATTTTTCGCACTTTTACATTTCAGTCATTTAAATTTCCCACAATTTCCTTTATGTCCTATACTTTTAGCATATTTATCATTCTTGTCATTTTTCTTTCTTGCCTTTATTTTATGACATTTTTCTTTTTCTACTTGAGCACTTTATTTTATGTCCTTTTTCTTTTTCTCTTCGAGCATTTTTCTTCTTTCTTAAAAAAAAACATTAATAAATACTTAAACCTTAAAAAACTAAATGGCTCTCTTTTGGACTGTGATTATTATCCTCTACTTATGGATATTTGGACCTTTAGACTTAGGATAGACCCTTGTACTTTCATCTGATAACTTGATCCATCTGAGACTTTTGAGCCTTCATCTGAGACCTTAGAACTTTCATCTGATCATTGGGTTTTAT